ACCACTACTTCGTCTGACCTGAGCTACTATCAACTCCCATTTTCATTTTACTTCTATGTTCCTTTTTTCTGTTGTTCATCATGTTATTAACTTGTATTTTAGTTTACTTTTTTCATATTCGAGTATTGTTCCCAGCTAGGCCTATAATGATTTCTTCGCAGGCCTTATTTAAAAACAATCAATAAAGATATAAACAAAAACAACAACAACTCGAATCATATATATGCCAGAGAGGATTGAAAAGTGGAGAAGGGAGGAAGCTAGCATCAGAGTGAGCCACTAGACATATATGTGATTCAATTGTGCAAGTTTTAATTCTCTAAATCCTTCAGTTTCTTCAATCCCCTATAATCAATCCTATTATGTGTGCGTATACGAGCGACTACACTTCAACCGGAATTGTTAACATCAAAATCGGGTCTTATCGTCAACAATTATATTTAGTTTTCATAAATTCAGTTTGAGTTATGCTGGAGCTTCATATTTCGCTGATAATCGACGACTTTTTTGTCTAAAAATGATTCTATGAATAGTGGACAAGTATTATCAGTTGGTTTTAACTCATCTCTCGTACGTTTACTAACTAACCAAAATCAGAGTGATTCTTCGTTAAAACGTACGAGAGATGAGTTAAAACCAACTGATAATACTTGTCCACTATTCATAGAATCATTTTTAGACAAAAAATAAAGTGGGCCGATTTTCAGTCTTATGCGGGCCCCTCCTTTATTCTGAGAAGCGTTCGATCAGGCTTCGAAGAAAAGACGTTTTTTTGACAAAGAACGCATATTTCAAAATGTGTGGTCCAACGCTTTTTTAAAACATTTTCGCTTGATATAAAAGACATTTACGATAAAAAATACACGATGGAACTCGTTTTTTGAAACTACTGTTTTGTAGACAGATGACAAATGTACGGAAGCTCTTGGAAAGACGGAATGGCCAAAACAGAAGGAGTCGTAGTTGAATGGATTGTCTTAGGCCCTTTAGAGTGTGCCGCCATTTTCTATGGAAATAGTCAATAGATATATCATTAAACAGATTATCATAAGGCTATTGCTATTGTTATGCTGACAACGTTAGTATGTTTGTTTAACTAAAGTCAAGAAACTAATATTTCAAAATTGGTCGTCTTTAGATGATGATATTCTATAGTTCCATAAACAACTCTAATAACCACCAGTTGGAAATGCTCTAGGCGATGGCGGCAAGTCAAGTGAAGAAACAAGTTGGTCACTTACAAGCTGCATGGTATTGGAAATCGAATAGCAATCCATGGTCCACGAGTGAAAAAGAAGAATGGGCAAAGTATTGTGATATCGAATCAGAAATTATTGAACAAGCCTTCAATGACAGACAAACTAAGCCGGTTGAACTGGATAATCATTGGATCCATCTAAACGATTGCATTCAAATCAATAAACACGACAAAAATAAACAACGGCAAATAAAGCGAGTTTTTATTGATATTAATGAAAACAGAGACTTAAGGGAAGAAAGATTTTTTTTCCCACAACTATTGACTAAACCGTTTAACGACGATTTTGGCAAAGAGCCTCTCAGTTTTATTAGACAGTGGAGAATGAAGGCTAGAAAGCTTTCTGATGCTGAAATAGTAGATCAGGCAGCAAACGGAATAATTATTGAAGGAAATCAACTAGGCCAGCGTTGCGGACCACAGTGGATTGCTCGACAATTGAAAGCGCTTCGAAATAAGAGCCTAACAGAAATTTCTAAGTGTTGCATTAGGCTATATACGAAAGAATGTTTTCTATACAAACTACTGAACAAAACAATGAGAGAAAATGATACAACCAAAGTAGACACTCTCGCCCCATTTTGCTACCTTTTATTCAAATCTTGGCTACAAAATTCTAACAATTATTACACCGAAATCTATCGAGGGGCAAAGATGGACCCGAAGATGATTAAACCTTATCAGGAGTCAATTGGACAATGTAGGGCCTGGAATGGACCTACTTCAACAAGTAAAAACCGTCAGAAAGCTGAAACACTTGGGAATACTTTATTCATTATTGACGCGACGGACTTCGGAGGCATAGAAATATCAACATATTCAGATTTTCCACACGAAGAAGAAGTCTTACTTCTACCCGAAACATCATTTACAGTTATCGACGTTAAGGCTGACACCAAAACAAAAAAAACTAGCATTTACTTGAAAACACATTATAAAAAAGAACTGGAACAACTATGTACTCAATACGAAACTGGTGAATTACGCGAATTAATTCCAAGTTCGAATACAAGTATAAATGTAGTTCCAGATAGACGATTTGTGATAGTTGGCCTTAATTCTGATGAATTTACTTCTATAATTGGAAAATTGAGAAATCACACTGAACATTTAATTATTCAAATCAATACTGTTAAAGAGTTTGAAGAATATGTAAATTCAAACACAGAGATCAAAATAACAATTTTCATCGGAAATCAACAGTTTTTTTATTTTTCGTCGATTATACAACATGCCGATACCATTGATAGTATTTATGTACTTGGCGGCAAAAGTGACACACAATCAATGGAGACGAACATGAAAATAGAATTAAGATTTACGTCTGTAAACGATTTTTTATCGGAATTGGTAGATCAACTGGCGAATGAATATCGAGAAAAAGCGGAGTTCCTCGAAAGGCACGGTGAAATTAGTTTAGCAAATGAAAAGCACGACATAGGACGCAAAATATACGAAACATGGATGACGCATGCTGTTCAGCCATCAGGTATGAAGCCACATTATTTCAACCTCACGCATTTAACTGTTTTTGATACATATAGCATAAACTTCGCATCATTTCCACTACTTTTCTCGCTTTCCCACTAGACCTGGGCGAGTACGAGTACGTACTCGCACTCGAGTACGATTTTGACGGTACGAGTACGCGTACTCGAAGGTTTGGTACTCGAGATTTTTGTTAGGTCCAGTAAACGCAGTAAGTTTGTACGCATCGACACCGCAATCATTACACACGTTATTCTTCCAGCTAGTCTTGCTTTTTTCCATTCTTTCTCTTTCATAGACCATATACATGCATACATGTATGTACATCGAGATGATGTGTGTTTTCTCTCCGTATATTCTTCTTCATCTTGCACGAGTACGATTTTGACAGTACTCGTACTCGAGAAAATCCGTACTTGTCCAGCTCTATTTCCCACACGATATAAGTACGTTGAGTCCATCCCATTGCTTTATGTTGATACTCCAGCTCATCACAAAACTATCAGACATCAGGGAAGACAAAGCTGTTTTGTAAATATTAGAAAAACGTTTCGTCACATAGCAGCACTAGATGTGACAACATCCCATTCTTGTAAGAAGTATTGTACTCGCTTTATCAATATTAGCCATTTTAGAATACAAAGCACCACAGTGCAGCACAATGGGACAATTGTCATTTCTTTTATTTCAAACGAATGCCGCTAACCAAGCGTTAATCATTAAAGAAAAATTTGAACTGGTAACCGGCACAATATTGTTTTCTACCAGCAGTGAAAACCGTTGTTTAGAATATTTACAACTGAATGCGACGAAAGATTTTCTGATAATTATATGTGGAAATGATTTACCAGAAGCGATTTGGAAATCTGCCAAACGTTTTCCACAAATATATGCTATATATCTTTTCTGTTCTAACAACTATTTCGATACCGATGGAAAAATTCGAGGTACTTTTGAGAACGAAAATAATCTGTTTTATCGGCTAACAAATGATGTTATCGATTATTATACTCTTGAAGCTGACGTTTACATGCGTTCGGCTCAGCCTAAATTGTCTAATGACAAATATCAAGAAGCACTCAAGTGGGCTACAATACTCCAAAATTTGAATAACTCATAAATTACAGTTGCACACTCATTGAATAAGTACTTTCTCGTATTTTAACTATTTCATATTAAATAAAAACTGGATAAAATCTTTACTTTTTTCACCTCGATAGGCAAAATAGGAAAATGGATTAAACTAATGAACTGACATATGATTTGCCTACACTGATTTTTTTTTATTTTCAGATGTGCCACCAAGCTGATTGAATGCTGTCTAATACTGACTACGAGATGAACGATGCTATCGTCATCTATCTAGAAGAACCACACCGTAAACATTCAAGTAAACTGGAAGTATTTATGATTGATAAAAATATTACATTTGTAAAGTTTTTCAAAAATACTCGTCAATGCCGAGAGTACATGCATGGTAAAACCGACAAAAAGTTTACTATTTTTGTTTCGAGCGATAATGTACCCGAAATGATGTACTACTTCAAAAGCTTCAAACAAGTGAGACATATTTACATTTTTTGCTTTGATTTCGACTCCTTTAGTATGATGCAGGATAAATGTGGTCAATATCATAAAGTTCAAAAGATATTTATGCAGGATCAAAATAGGTTAGAGTACGAATTAGTACACTTTGGTACTGACTATTGCCAAGAAATTGGAGATCAGCACAACAAAGCCGATAACGCAGTAGTAGCTGAAATGTGTTATCGAGATGCACTACGACTGGTACCAGTACAAGTTGAGCACTTGAAGAAGAAACTTGAACAACAACAAACACAAGAAACGATACCAGCGGAAATTAGTGAATTAAACGAACCTCAAGCATCTGATCACCCAGTAATAAACGGAGAAAAAGTCGGTTTGTCTCCTTCAATTGGAATGCTATCAACTAAGTTATAGTTATATTGTAATTCGTAGTTGACTGCAAGTATAGAGCGGTATTATCTGAATTCATCGACATCTAAATACTCATCCTAAATTGCAGACAAACATTCATTTCTCATCAGAGGATGGAAAGTCTCAAAAAACATGATTAAAAAAATGTGGAGTTATTTTTTAATTAAAAATTACGCATAATAAACAAAAATACGCAAAGAAAAACAAAATTTCTGAAATTGTTGATTATCTACATTGTATTTTTTCTTATTACTCATTCTTATAATTTTACTAATCAAAATTAAATAATCATTAAATGATAATGTACCACAGTTAGAACAGTTCCCCATCCCAACGATACGTGCTTCCACGCATATTTTCAATTAAGTGCTGGGTTTGTGACAGACAGAGTGCTCTGGAGCGTAACAAATTAGAGATAAAACTGTGCGCAGCCTCCCACTTTCTTTTATTCAACAACAATGATGAAAATACAAACATATCACCGATAAAAAAAAATTAAAGTTCGTTTAGAGTTAAAGAAAAAAGTGCTTTTTCGTATTCAGCACACATGAGAACCTGAAAAACTTTCTATTTTTAGCGAGGGGTACCGCCAAAAAGTTAAGAAAAATTTTAAAACAAATTGCCGCAGAAAAATCTCCATCGTAAAATTATACAAGTTTGAAAATTTTTCTTAACTTTTTGGCGGTACCCCTCGCTAAAAATAGAAAGTTTTTCAGGTTCTCAAGTGTACTGATTACGAAAAACACTGCAACTCTAAATGAACTTCATTGTTTTTGTCGGTGAAATGCATCTACTTTTCACACTTATGAGAAAAAGTAGGTGTATGTATTTTCATCATAATTCTTGAGCAAAAGAAAACATAGACTGCGGGAACACCTGAACAAAATTGAATGGATTCCCTTTTACACACAGATTTAACCACTTTTCTTAAAACCGACTTAAATGACTTTGTAAATATGAGTTCATTTAAACTAATTTGTACTCTCAAACTAGTTTTGGTTAATATTAATAAAATCAATTTAAGTTTATCCTATTCTCAAACTAACTTACATCAGTTTATAATAACGAATTCAATTGGGATTGTTTAATAATCCATTTGTTTAAGGGTCCCCCCTCAGAAATGGTGATTTTCGGTCAAAAAATCGGTTTTGAGATACGCACATGAAAAGATAGCCTGAAGTGTCTACTTCCAGAATCTGTACTGCTTTTGGTTACGAAAGTGGTTTTTCCGGGATTTGGAGCAAATTTTCTAAGAGCCCCGAAAAAATAGGTCTTCAAATAATGTTTTTTTCCTGGATACTTATGCAATTGAAATTTTCCTGAAAACACAGCTTTGTAGAGCAAACATTTCTGACCAAAATAAGACTTCGCACAACTCTGTATGACCTTGCATCGAAAAGTTACAGACATTTTCCTAGAAGTCATAAAATCGACTATTTCATACAGTGTTTAACATAGCGTTTTCGCTATATAAGAGATTTTTAATAGCAGTTTGTCGTAGAGAGTTCATTCTTTTTTTGTTTAAAAGAGGAAAAAAAAATACATCGACTGACCGGCGTCGATTTTTGAATTAGGTGTTAGTTTTTTGTCAAACTGAGAATTTTTAGAAAATCTGGAAGGCTTTTTCGGGTTTCGTAGGTTGCTGGTTGCCTGGAAAACCAATAAAGGCTTAATTGAAAAATCGGCGCCGGTCAGTCGATGTAGTTAGGTGTCTAGTTTAANAACCCGAACTCTCCAGCTTGAAGTATATTAAAAAATCTTGGGACGCCGTTCAGGGTCCTTTTTGGATCTTGATCTCTGGAAAACTCCTAAATCGTAAGACTTGGAGACAAAAAATTTTTTTCGTTCCAGTAACTCATTGTGCCGAACATTTATGGAAAGTTTCGGCAAGATCGGATGCACGGTGTAGCAGATAATTTCTGAAGGGGGGGGGTCCTTAAGGTAATTTTTAATCTGAAATTAATTTGTATTAGGCTCAGGCGTCGAAACTGATGCAAGATAAGTTATTTTAAACCTACTAAGTAGTTACACTAATTTTGATTACCAAAATTTACTCAGGACAATTCAAGGAGTAGAAATCCATTTAAACTAATGTATCTTTCATGAACATCAATTAATTTCGACTCCTAAGTATTTAAATTAATTTCTAGTATTGAAATCAATCCAAATTTATTAAAAATAAATTTATTTAAGCAGTTTTGAGAGTTAAAATCAATTTGAAATAGTTTAGAAGGCGAAATGAATCTAAATTCATTCGAGATAGATCAATTTAAACTAGATTATTTCAGTCTGATTTAAATTAAGTTATTTTCAAACCGGCTGAAATGATTTTAGGATGGAAATCATTTTGAATTTTAATTAGCTAATTCATTTAGTTTATTTGGTACAAAGCCATTAATTCCTGAAAAAATAACTTTGCAACGCGTCATAACACGTTGCGTTACGCCTATCACATTGTAATGCGATAAATTTATAACGCTGTAATACCATAATTTAAGAAAAAGCATGTTTTATAGCGTGATAACCAAACCTCCAGTTTTACTGCGCACACTTCGAAGTATCTCTCAATTTGAGTGACACTTCGTCACTTAAAATGACAGCTATTTTTAAGTATCAATTTATTTCATTGATTTTGAAGTTATTCGAAGTCAAATATGGATAGAATACGACATTTGCACAAACGTGAATTTTATATCGTAAAAATTAAGCCACCTAGAATACGATGCAAACGTCTATAAGTATTTGTTTTTGGACCAAACGACCAAATCGAACACTAACAAGATATACAATGAAACGTGATACAATTACAAACAGAAAATAATAGGATTCGCACTATACACAACAAAGGAATAAATCACATATGATGGTGATATGACCTTCAGCTTTGACCGTCAGCCATTAAATAACTCAAGATGTCTGATGGTGTTCCGAAACTAACAATAAATTTAGTTCACTGAATAATCATTCATTGCCAATGGATAAACTTTATAATTTCTACACTCATGATAATACCTGATAGATTTTCTGAGACAATTTGTTCGACATTGTGAGACATTCAACGGTTTTAATAATTACTAGTTTTAATATAATTAGTAGGTTTTTTTGGTGTGTCAGCAAATTACGTTTCTTTTTCATCAACAGAACGTTTTCGTCGATATAGTGCTTGATACGATTATTTAGTCTTACATTATTTATTCGACGCTGGGTTCTTGTAATGGGAATATGCGATTTTGTTCTGACGAGACCAGTTGACGCTTACATTTGATTCTATGTTTCAATATTCAGCTTTTATTTCTCAAAAGTGCAAACAGATTATTCCTCATTGTTCTTAATCTGATGGAGAATTAAAACAAACGAGGGTCGATAAGGGGCAAAATCGGTCCCCTCTCAGATCAAGCTCATATTCACCAGTCTGATGTAGTTTTTCTCGGTGATTAAAACTAGCATCTCAAAAAAAACATTTTCAGCCCCCCTGGAAAAAATTCCGCATCCAAACTTTTCTCCCCTTTAATGAACTTTATTTAGAATATTTTCCTAGTTTCTCCTCTTTGCCCAAAGAGACCCTCAACTACTATACATCATTCGATAGAGAATAAAAAAATGTTCGGGCTATTCGTGCTGCTGTTTCTAATATGTATCAAAAAGAAAGGAGTTCTTGTGATAATGACACAGTACTACATTGATAATATCCAAACTCTTCTTTTCTATATCTTTAACTACCGGACCCACCTTTTTGGATGTTCTGATCAGCTCACTTTGTAGAGATTTTCAAGGGCTATCCAATGGTATGTTTTCGCAAATAATTTCGCGGGCTACAAAATGATATATATATAATATTGAGAGCAAATGGGGCGTCGGTGTTCTAACACGAGAAA